GTATTAATGATGTGATACTAGATAAGTTATATCACTGAATAAATGAACTAAATAACTAAATGTTGAACAAAATTAGCTTAATTTTGAACCAAATTAACTAAATAGTGAAATAAATTAACTAAATTATAATACTAAATTAGCTTAATTGCGAACCAAATTAACTCAATTTTGAATCTCAAACTAAAATTGAGTTAACCAATTTCTATAACCATAATATATAAAATTGAATTGTCCAAAAATTTGTTTTACACAGTGTATACAAATTCTACTTTTTGGATTATTTATTATTGCGCTGATTTGTGTGCTAGTTTATGTCAATAGTTAAATGATAATTTTAATAACAATTATTGTCAATTAAATTATGTGTGACTGTCATCTGTATTTTCTATTATCAATGTTGTATTTTGGGTTTAAGTTACAAATATATTATAACAATTGCATTAATATATTATAATATAAATTACTGTATTATTACAAATATATTATGCTTATATAACCTGCAAGCTATTTCATTAAAATATATTAAATATATAAACTTATGTAATATTTTAAATAAAAATTATCAATCACATATATCAAATAATTTAATTATTTTTAAATATAATTATTAACAATAAATAAAAATAACCACATTTTGAGACACCGATCGCTGCCATAGATATAGTCTTTACAAACCTCTATTGACTTATTGCTGGCAATATTTTGTCCGTATTTTTAGGTTTAATATGAGTTTTGGGGATATGTTTGACACAAGAATTAGTCGTTTTTTAGTTATATTTCAAAACTCAACAGCGAATCAAACGTTAAGATATTTTGAACACATATTTCGGTTAAAACTTGTTTTTTATAATTTAATTATTTCTATAACTAATTTTTTTAATTTACTTTAAATTCATTTCTAGTTTTTATTATTAATTATAGTTTTTCACTTTTTAATTATTATTAATTATTAATAATAATAATAATTCATGCTAATGTTATCACAAAATACAAAACCGATTGTAAAACAAATACTCGTCAGAAAAAAATTATTTTTATTTAATACTACTTTTTATTTTTAATTGAGACAAAAACTTTTTTGATGTAATTTTTTTAAAAATTTGATTGAACCGTATAATGAAATGAAAAGTGAAAATAAAAGTCTATTTAATGATTATAAAGTATTTAATTGACTCTCTCTCTCTCTCTCTCTCTCTCTCTCTCGTAATAAATTTCAATCAATTAATTAAAATTAATATTTTATTAGTAATTAAAATACATTTAAATTTTAATATAACGTTGCATCTCCGACAACATGGTATTTAAACGTGGTACACTGACACTGGTAATCAGTTGTTATATAATTTTGAGCTTGCTTTCCAAAGTCGTCAATCTCGGCAGCGTTGCAATAGTCCTGGTTATTTATAAAATACAAGCTTGTTAATCTTATTAAAAACTATTTATGTCGGATGCTTGGATACCGAGTAAATAATTTATGTAGGCTACTGTATTAATTATTGCTATTTTGAGTTTTAATTTACACATTATCAATATTGACAAATATAATTAAATAGTAATATTAAAGTAATTTAATTATTTTAATTTATCGTGTTTAAACTATTTTCTACTGTAAAGTAATTCATTTTTTAATGGCTATGCTTTATTTCATATAAAGTTTTGTTATTTTGGATTGCGATCAACAATGTCTATTTTATTTATGAAATAGTTTTATTATCGAATGTTATGATAAAATAATTTTTAAAAATATCCGTGTGTTCATATCAAATAATAATAATTTTTAATTAATATTCATTTTATATTAACTTCATTTTAAAAATAATATTTCATTTTAAATATTAACTACAAATAATTAATTAATTAAAACACTACCATTTCATATAGCCTAGCACAATCAATGAGGGCCCATATGGAACAGCATATACGGTGTCTGTCCTTCTCATCGCCCGACTTAGAGGGGCCTAACTTATNAGCCTAGCACAATCAATGAGGGCCCATATGGAACAGCATATACGGTGTCTGTCCTTCTCATCGCCCGACTTAGAGGGGCCTAACTTATCGGTCAGACATTTATCGCCCACATCTGAGGGTATTTTATCCAGGCACGATATGTATAATCTTAATTGTATCCACATATTGGTCCACAATATAAACTAATACATTTAAAATCAAACATAAGTACTGTATTAATATTATTATTATTAAGGCGATATTAATAGAATTGTTTTCATAAATTTTAATAAGAATTATAATCAAGTACAATTAAATATATCAAACATACAAACTATATACTCAATATATTAAGTACCGGTATATTAATTTAATTATATTTTATACCCTATTAAGTGGTTATAAAGCAATATAAAAATTAATTAAAACAAAAATCTTGTGATTTATACACAAAGATTTCAGTATAAAACTATTACTTATTCACGAGAAATATGAAATCAACAAAAATAATGGAGGAGTTTTTAATATAATTTTTTATGATGGCTCGCAAAACATATTATTTATGCAGCCATAATAAAATATTATAAATATTCAAAGTTCATTTTCATAACACAAAATACTAACTCTGGGTGTAGCCAAGCATATTATTCAATCTTAATATTTGAAAAATGCCATAATATTCTATATCGTATTCTAACCAAACTGAGCTAGTTAAATTTGGCGAATGCAAATATACAATATAAGAAAAAGAATATTCTTTATACTAGAAAATCACAGAATTTCATGTAACTACACAATATAAATATTAAACATAACTGAGTTTGTATGTTAGTCATAGATATTAAACATAAAAGTGAATGATTTTAAAAATGACTGACAATATAAATGTGAATAATATAATTATGAATAATTGCTGCATGTCTGCCTATTGTTTGTAATTTGTGTTTAATTAAAGTAAACAATTAAATAATTGATTTAATTGCTATTATATTTTGAAATATTAAGTTTTTGTTATATGCAGTATAATTAAACATTAAGCAATTTTATAAAAGTAATTAATATAATAATTTATAATGAATTCAATTAGTGTAATAACTATTATTAATATCATTAATAATATTGCAACTGGAAAAGGGTTTCATGTAATTCAGATGTATTTAACATTGCTTTTAAATCATTTGAATTAATTGACAATCTTGTGCAAGAATATAACGTTGACAATAACATTCAAGAATATTCTGGTATATCATTTGAAGAATATTCCGGATCAGATGATAATTACAGTAACAGTGATAGTGATATTGACAGTGATTATGAATTACCCGAACATCACTCTAATTCAGTAAATTGTAAATATAATATATTAAAAATTGCAGAATATATCAAAAAACACCCGACACATTCTTATAATACTGTTCGTAGTAAATTCAAAAAGTGTACGGATTTGCAAATGTTTTATAAAATTAGACATTTTGTTAATAATAATTATGTTGGTTTTAATGGATATAAAGTGCTAGTTTTTAAAGAATATTTATATCAAGAATTTATTAAAAGTATCCAAAATTTATTGCATGTGTCTGATGAAAAATTACAATTAATTGCTATTAAAAAAGCATGTGAATTGAATTATTGTGATTTTAGGGCTAGTTTAAGTTTTATTAATGATTAAAATGAGTTGGGTATTTCCAATCGAAAAGTTACTGTATATGTAACCAAAGGACAACTTAAAAATCAAACAGAAATTGATAATAATGTTACAGAATTTAGACAAAACTTTAATAATAATTATATAAATCAATATAAAAGTGAATTAATCTTTAATTCAGATCAAACTTCGTTTAATAGAGAAATGGTGCCCAAAAGAACCCTGACATTAAAATCCCAAAAACACGTTAAAATTAAAATGCAGAATCGGAATGCTATGACACATTCATATAAAGTAATGCCAACTATATCTATTTCTGGCCATGTTTTTGGGAAAATTAATATTATTTTTTAAAAATTAACTAAAACTGTAGGTTTTGGTCCTAATATTTTAAAAAAGTTCGGAATTTGGAGACAAAACTCATGAATATTCGTGTATTTTCTACAAGAAGTGGTAAAATGGAGACAAAAACATGTAATGATTGGGCAATAGATTTATTTAATATTAACAATTTTCCAGAATATATCAATTCTGGTGAAAAACCCAAAATTTTGTTATGCTTGGATGCATATTCTGGTCATTCTAATGATAATTTTATTAATAATTTTGACCTGGATAAGATAGACATAAATATACTTAAAATTCCTGAATGTACTAAAAAATATCTACAATCATTGGATATATTTTTTAACCACGAATTAAAGTATTTTATGCGTAAAATTAAAAATGAAGTAATGAATCAAAACTTAAATATTAAAATATATGATAGGTTTATTCAAATGCAAACTTGGTCATTGATTTGGGAACAAATGTCTAGTGATAAACTTAATAATATGATAAAATATTGTTTTAATAAAGGATTCTGTGATAATTCTACTGAATTTATAAGTTTACGTAAAATTTGTTTTAAAAGTAATGTTAGATTTTGTGAAATAACTAATTGCAAAAATACATTTTTTATTAAATGTAGTATATGCGACAAAAATATTTGTTTTAAACACTTTTACATAGCATTTCATACACATTTATAAATGTAAATTATTAAATGATATTTTTGTAATATACCGGTATAATAAATTATTTGTATAATTTGTATTCAAAATTATTTAATCTTTGAAATTAATATTAAATATATCAATAAACTCATATATAAAGTGTCAATGTCAATTTACTACTTACTCACTTTTACCATGACATGGTTTTATTATAACATGGTTCATTCATATTTATATTATGTAGTTACATGAAATTCTGTGATTTTCTAGTATAAAGAATATTCTTTTTCTTATATTGTATATTTGCATTCGCCAAATTTAACTAGCTCAGTTTGGTTAGAATACGATATAGAATATTATGGCATTTTTCAAATATTAAGATTGAATAATATGCTTGGCTACACTCAGAGTTAGATGACTGCTTGCTAAATAAATAAACAAAATTTCATATTTTTCTAAATTATATAATTTATTCCTAACAAAATATCTTTTAAAATTTGATCGGAAACGTTCTAAAATTAATAACTTTTAAGAATAAAAACATAATAAAATACACCTTGGTACTGTTATTTTTGCCTTTAATTTTACTAATATTTATGTCTGCTTGCCACAACAAGTACACTTTTAAATACATTAACTAATTTTCAATCAAAAATTCACTTATATTTTGATTTTCATAAATTAATTTTTATTATCATACTAAATTCTAAATCAATAGCTCTAATTACAATGCTAGCATATCTTATTATTAGTGCCATGGTGATAACTAGAGTTTTAGGGTGTAGGCAAAACCGTCGTAGCAGTACCGGCGCCCACACACGCCGTGTACGCGATAGTACACGCAATCCCAGCAGCCGGTGCCGCGGCTCCGACAGTCACGGTTGTAGCGGCCACTCCACAGGCGGCGCACCCGCCCAACGCTAGTTGACATCCGGCGATGCACAGGGAGGCCGCAATTGGCCCACTCTCTACCTTGTCTGGAGTGCCTGTTAACAGCAAAATGGCCAGGGTCACCATCACGTATCCACTTGTAGGCTTCATTTTTCTAGAGCAATAATAATTCATAATTATATTAGTAAGGTTGTTGAAATAATTTAAAGTTTTATAAATTACTTAGAGAAGTTACTAGTTAAATTACTTTGAGGTTGTGTTAAACAACTTTAAAGGACTTGTTTATATCGACAAATACTTTTGCAATAATAATAAGTAATGCACCTAAATCCATTATATTTATACTATTACAATATTAAAATATTACATAATGTATTTCAGTAAATTGCAATCATAATTAATTGTGTTAATATTAAGTTTCCTGATACAACCATATTAGTCATGTTAATGTACATAGTATTATATTTCCGAAATATAAATTCTGTATATAAAATACTTTTATTATTAGAGTTTTGTTAATAAAATAGGCTATTAAATCATGTTTATCAATTTAATGGTAACATATTACGTTTTTGATTAAAGTACTTCAATGTTTAGTTATTTTAAAATAAATTTTTATTTCCGATAACAGATAATAGTGATAAGGTGGGAAACACACACAAAATTAAAAATACATATTTTTAAATTGCAATTTATGTCATATTACGTGATATTAGTCTCGATGTTTATAAATCCGATGTCAAAACACATTCCAATTCTATGGCTAATAAAATACATACTGTACTATACAGTTCAAATTTTATAATTGGTAAAGTAATTAAAATTAACATGCAATATAAGTCTTATATAAACCAAATTATTTGCAAAATATATGTATAAAATTTATGTAGTTAAAATAAAAATATAAAATAATATACCAAAATTTAGCAAACACTTTTAAATAAAAAAAACAAAAAATTAATTCAAATTAACTTCTCAAATTTTTAATAGTGTTAGCCATAGAATTAGCCACAGAATTATACTTTCTTGACAACCACGATGATCTAGGTAACTCATTAACCACCACTTTGGCGTATTGATGGCACTGGGCTTTAGACTGCTTTTGGACGTCCAACATCTTCCTAATGTCTCCGCCGCTGTGTTTCAATCGACACAATTCACGGATACTCTCCTCGATATCCTTCACCGATATCTCGGACTTTCTCGGGCCAGTCCTCTCCATCTCTTTCAATATTATCTTCTTTTCCCTGTTATACCTGTCCAGCACCTCCTCCAACTTTTGCACTGTTAGCCGACTGTCCTTTTCGGCTATACTTCCGCCTCTTTTCTCGTTTTCTATCAAATACTTGACATAATCGCCGAACGCGTCGTTGAAAGGGGTCATAGCGTTGTGTTTAAGGAAACACGCGAATCGAGCCATACATTTGCTAATAGTTTGGGTTTCTTGAGACAGTTCACTCATTTTAGCCTCCAGTTCCTTGATTTTAGACTCCTTTGCCTCTACTTTCTCCTTATCATTAGTGATCTTTGTCAATTTAGTCTTGTCAACTAATTTGATGTTCCTTATTTGTGTTTCGTAGTTTGTATGCAAATGAACCTGTGTAATCAAAGTAAATTTATTAGTAACAAGCTGCTCAAAATTATAATTGAATTTAATATATTATTGGATAATTTAAGAATTGATCCACTGGGTGCTTAAATGGGTTATGTATTTTGTAATGCAAACTGTATACATAACATAATAATAGAATTTCTCAAAGTAATAAAAAATATTAGATACTATAAATGCAATGATTATGTTATATATACAGTTTGCATTTAGAAATAAACAACCTTTTTATGCACGTAGACGATCAATTATCATATCACATTTAATTGTCTTATTTTAAACATTATTTATATAATAGTTAATGTATTATAGTTAATAAGTAATTTTATATAAACCTGATAACTATGACCACAATTATTACAATCTTCAGATTGACTGCGTCTGGCACGATGACCTGGAACCTTACCATCGGAATCAGTCGTCAAATCATTATCAGGATGGAATTCGCTAGGATCGAAATAACTATCTGGACCAGTTCGCTCGTACTTATTAAACGCCTTACAATCCAACAAGCCTGTATTACCCACCACATTACCATCGTCCGAGTTTAAGTAGCATGGTGAGTGACAATAGGTTTTGTAATGTGTTTTAATGTTGCCTGTCACATTCAATATTTCGCAACAGTTTTTGTGCCCACACACTGTTACAGGTTTGTCCAATGGAGTCGACACTATTTCAACGGACGGGATGTATAGCTCTTTCTCCAGTTCCTCGATGGAGCCCTTGTGCTCACGTATACGGCGCTTATGTATCTCACATTGCTTTTGATTATCGCCGATGTTTTTCGCGATGTCAGCCAATGGTTGAGTCAATAGAAGGATATTTTGTTTGGCGTTATTGAGGGATAGGGTGTCCATCACGTTATGCGGCTTTAGTTCCATAATCCGCTCCATTAGTCGCTCGCATTCTTCTATTGAACTATTTTTTAAAAACAAATAAATTATATTAATAAAGGATTTTGACAAAATTAAAATTACTATAGTTTTTGTAATAATAGTTTGTGTTTTGTGAACATCCAGATGGTTTTATGCTAAAATTATATTTTAAAAATAACATACTAATAATTAATAATATTAGCATAAAATTACAGGTTGTTAATTATTTTTGATAAGTCAAATTAAAGTATAAAGTCTCTATCTCGAAAGGAAAACCCCAAGCCTTATCCCAATCATTTAATACACTATTTTCGGCAATTAATACAGAAATGTATTACAGAAAGAAAGTGTAAAATAGACATACATTGGATTTGTAAGTCTCGTTATAAGGTATTGTGTTTTAACATGTCAA